TGTCCCAGCCATATAGCAAGGGAATCTCAGCCCTGCCGGCTCCACAGCCCACGGACCCTATTTCACCGCGTCCCCACGATTCCACCCGAGCGTCACTTTACTCTGCGGCTCACGGTGACCTGGCAGGACAGCTCCTCCTTCCACATCCGGCCTCCATTTCTTTTGTTTGTTTTTGTTATCCTCCTCTGAGGACATTTTCCCCTTGATTTTTAGAGAGAGTGGACGGGAGGGGGAGAGACAGAGAGAGAGAAACATCCATGTCCGAGAGACACATTGACTAGTTGCCTCCATGCGGCCGGGGATCAAGCCTGCCACTGAGGAACTTGCCCTTGACTGGATTCAAACCCGTAACTCTCAGTCCATGGGCTGACGCTCTACCCCTTGGGCCACACCGGCCAGGGCCTGCCTCCATTTCTCCATTGGTGTGCGTAGGGCTCCTTGGGGGGGGCTGTGTGAAAAGACCCTAATGTGGACCACCTTTGTCAGTCCCTCGATTGTGTGCACGGGGCAGGGGTGGGGGAGCCCCCGGTGGGTTTGGGGCGCGCACTGACCCGGCCACCCTCGGCCCCCAGAGCTGCTCTGCCTGCCGGACCGGATGCAGGCCAACGTGAGCCGGAGCTACCTGCAGTCCCTGGGCTACTCGGCCAGCGACCTGGTCATCCCCCACTGGCAGGACGTGCAGCAGTGTCAGGCCCAGGTCACGGCGAGCCAGGTGACCTTCACCATCCCCTACGCGGGCTGCGGCACCACCCAGCAGGTGAGCGGCCTTCCCGCGCCCTCCCCGATCCCGCTTCCTCCCGGCAACGTCCCGGCGTGTCCTGGATTCTGGGGCGCAGGGGACGGATTGTGTCTGTCGAAGCAGAAGGTCATCGGGGTGAAGGCATCCGTGTCCCTCCCACTTCCAACCACAGGGAGGCGGCGGCAGGCGGTCTCCCCACCGTCCAGGCGGAGGGCGCCCAGCAGGCTGCCCAGCACGTCCATCGTCGCAGCCACGGCGCCGCCAGGGCTCCGTGGGGCCTGAAGCCACGCCGGCTGGGCCTGGGAGGGTTGTGAAGCGCGTTGAGTCACTTCTGACTCTAACAAGACCAGCAGCGAGATCCCCTCGCAGGGCCGGGTGCCTGACGCCCTCTCCCGCCCCCTCCAGCTGGATAACGACACCATCACCTACTCCAACACCCTCCAAGCAGCCATCCCCGTCGGGAACGGCCTCATCCAGAGGCGGCCGAGCCTGCACCTCCACGTGAGCTGCCGGATGCTGCGGGACACCTGGGTGGACCTCATGTACGTGGCCAACGACAACGCCGAGGTCCAGGAAGTGCAGTACGGCAACTTCGCCGTCAACATGTCCTTCTACACGTCGTCCTCGTTCGCCTACCCCGTGACCATGCACCCCTACTACGTGCGCTTGAACCAGGACCTGTACGTTCAGGCCGAGATCCGCCGCGCCGCCGCCTCCATGGCCCTGTTCGTGGACACCTGCGTGGCGTCGCCGTCCTCCCAGGACCTGCCCTCTGTGGCCTACGACCTCATCCGGAGCGGGTAAGCGTGTCCCACCAGCGAGCCAAGGCCTTGGGTCCTGGGAGCTCAGCTGAGCCCGTCAGGGTGCCCCTCTGGTTAACGCCCAGGGAGGGGGCGCCTGCTGCCCGGTGGCCCCCAAGCCTGTCAATGGGATGAGGCCCAGTGAGGAGCTCGGGGCAAGCCCTGGCGTCAAGGACGTGGGTGTGGTGGGAAAGCTTTCATTGGGAAGCAGATGGAGATGAGATGCCAGGTGCCAGCTGCACCTACTGGGGGCA